GATGGACTCCATTGTAGCATCCTTTATATGTGGTGCTTTATTTATATTAGAAGTGTTTTTATTGATACAGCACTAAAATGTGATCAACTAAAGTATGAAGTGTTTTGATATTGAGCTTGAGTCTCACCTGTTTGTTGATATTGGAAGAATGTGGAATATGATATATATTAGTTCACTGTTGAGTTTGGCCAGGTTCTAGCCATATTTGATAAAGTGGAAAGTAAAACGTGTCTTAATCAATAGTGGTCTTGAGACTGTTAAAATGATGTAGTTGATTATCTGGTAACCATCTATTGAATGCTATTCCTTTAATCAATTGCTTATATTTTGGTTTAGATATATTTCTACTGGGCTGTGGCTCACCCTTTTATGGGAACATCATTTTCAGGTCCAGGTGATAAGCTACCATCCAAGACTTAAGCTTGGAAGGATTGGATTTTGAAGACTATCTTTAGTTATTTGGTTTTTATTTGATAAACATTCAAGCCGTAGGCTTTTATTTGTATTGAGTTAAGAACTCATATTTTTGTGTCCAGAGTGTTGGCTTGGGAAGATGTAAGCCCCATAGGCTAATTTAATTTGATAGTATATGTAATGTTTTCTTTTTGTAATACTCTGATGAATGAGATATGAATTGGTTTCTTTTAATATTGCATGCCAATGATATATATATATATATATAATGGGTTTATTTTGAGGCGTGACAAGGTCCTTCATCTGTTGTGGCACACCCACCTTTTATTGTTGTAGTTTTCTGTCTTTTTTTTTTTTTTTATTATTTTATTTTTATCAGGGAATTAGTTTTTAATGAAAGATCTTCTCCTAACATCAATGCACAATTTTTTTTTTAAGTTGGAGTGTTGTAGAGAAATTATCAATTCATGTAAGGCTGATGTTTTTATTCTTAATGCTTTGTACATGTGACGGAGGCATCAGAATCTGGTGAGGAGAATAGTTCTAAGGCTCCATCAATAGAGGTAATCAAAACTTCATCCCTTTTTTTGCTTCTATTTTTTATTTTTTTGTACATTCATGATGTTATAAGTTGATGATTTAATCTTTACTCGATTTCCATAGTTCAAAGACCAACTTCCTCATGTCACTTGGAATAAATTACAACCTATTTCCAGTTATTTTAATTAAATTTATTGTTATTCATTCCATTCTAAGTATTTCAGTATGGTTTGCAATAATTGAAGTTCAAAATAATTAGTTTTACCACTATTAATTTCTGCTACTACAATGTTCACCAAATGCTTGATAAATTGTTTCTCTATTTGATGCGTTTATTGTGTTTATTAATTCACAGGGAATGGAAGGTGAGGGAGAGATTAATCGAATGATCAAACTTTTGGTTGAGGAAAAAGTTCCCCTTTGCTAAACTTTTGAACTGGGGTAAGGAAAAAGTTTTCCTTTGCTTGGCTAGGTTGAGTTTATGAATTTATCTATTTTTTGGATAATGTTCTCTTTGCTAATTATTTTTATTATTATTTATTGTTTTTGGGAAACACCAAAAAAATTAGCAGTTTTTTTATTTTTTGTTTGCACTACTTCTAAATAGGTTGAATGCTCTCAATTGGATCTCAGTTGTGAGTTTATGAAATCTTTCTTTTGAGATTGTGGTTTAAAGATTTTTGAAATGATGCTCCTTGCATTGCGGTGCCAAAGATATCCATGAAGGTTATCAAAGAAAGAACATTTTTCTTGGTCAGTAAATCTCTCTTTTTCCCTCTATATGGATGTGTCTCTGAAACATTTTTTTTATATATAGTAGTTTCTCGTGTGAACCCCACGTGTTTGGGTGCATAAAATATTTGCTATATAGATTAAAAAACAGAGAGGGTGTGTGAGTGTGGGATGAGGGAGAGTAGAGATAGAGGGAGGCAAAAAGTGCCGATAAATGAATAAAATGGTGTGAGGCAAATTGCATCTTGAAAAGTTATCTACCTATGTGCTGAATTGCTGATAAAAAAAAAAAAACCTATGTGCTGAATTCCATGTCTCTAAAAGATTGACATTCTCAATTTTAGAAATTAAATATATTTGCTGAATCGTTAGTGCTTGATGATGGAGGGAGGCATTTATAAATATTAGTACTTGATAATGTGTTTAAGAGCTAAAATCTAATAATGTGTTTGGAACTTTCAATTAGTGCTTGATGATTTTTTTGCTTTTGCAACTATTATAGATAGTGCTTGATGTTTTCAGATTGGTGTAATCCATAGACATATATGCTTGATTGGAGGGTTAGCTGATTGCCCAAAGAGGTGGTTTTGTTGATTAAGGTGTAGTTTCTTCTTCTTTTTTTTTTGGTTTTTACTTTCTATTTTTCTCTTCCTTAGTAATTAGCAAGAGAGAAGTGTAATATGAAGAGTCTGAGACTTAAGCTTAGTAAAGTGAAATGAGTGTTGTAACTAACTAATACTACTGAAACTTGAGTGTAATATGTTCATGAGTTTGCTAATCATACATTTTATTTAACTAATTTATACATTTTTCATGCTACATTTTGGGCTTTGATACACTTTAATTTTGCAGAATGGGAGTGAGTAGCAATGCACGATTTTCCTTTCCATGCCTTTTCTTTTTAAACATTACCTATTAATAGTTGACATGAGAGATGGTTTGTTAATATTGCAATCACTGAAATTATATTCTTTTTAAATTTTAGCCGTAGTTCAAATGAGACCAACTCTCCTCAATTAGAACAAGAAAGATTGATAGCTTAGGTAAGTATAACAGTGATGGTACAAGAAAGGAACAATTTTTCTCTGAAATTATTTTGTGAATAAATTTTTCACGTACTACATAAAAGATTGGACAGAAAAAGATTAATCCAACATTATTTTCATCGTGCCTTTAGGCACGGGCATACACTAGTATATATATATATATTAGAGAGGCCCTATTTTGATAATTCACCTTAGACCTCACAAATCTCAGGGCCGGCCCGGCATCCTTATGGGAGGGAGGAGGTGCAAAGAGGCTGTCTTTCCAATAACATTTTCAGCAACATTGACCCTTAAGCCTAAGTATCATCTTATATGATGTGAGTTTGAAGGAGTTGATTCTAACAAAACCAATAATCATAACGCATTGGTCAGGTCAATAATGCTATAATAAATAAAATAATATATTTGGGTTTTCAATAGGTTTAGCCACAACCTCTACCAACAACCCATATAACGAATATAACATATCCGGTTTTCAGTTGGCTCAACTTCAACTTCAACCTCAACCTCAACCTCAACCTCAACCTCAACCTCAACCTCAACCCCCTAACACCAATATGGGTTTTCAGTAAGCTCACCCTTAAGCTCACCCTTAACTTGATCCACGTGTGTGATTGTGTACATGTTTATATATATCAATGTGTAGGAGATGTACCAATTGCTTCACATAATGAGATTAAGGTTCACATAACGAGATTAAGGTACTCCAATTGCTTCATTAGTTAATATCAACTTGTTTCCCTCTTGACTCCCTGGAAACCCATAAACACACGGGGCTAGTTAAAAATACTTTCTATTTTAAATAAAAGCAAATGAGACAGAAAAGAGTGAGGAAGCTAAGAACATCTAAAATCTTATTAGTTTTTCTTGATACCTGATGAGATAGTTCAATTGAAGTCGAAGTGTACATCAGCCTGGGGACCAAAAAAAAATCCATTTAGAATTTAAGCACCCAAAAAACTAATAGAGAAAAAAGAAACAATTAATTTGATCAGCCACCTCCACATTTCCTTGCAGATCTGGATTCTACTATATACTCACAGAGTATCATACTACATTTTTGGGATATAGAACAAAATTTGGAGCAATAAACCAAATATTGGCATACTTTTAAATAACGCGCTTTGACCCATTACTCTAGTTCTACTATTGTTCAAAATAATAAAATCGGTTGATCAGCAATTATATACATTATTTCCACAAGTTTAACCAAGAAAGCTCTCAAAATATTTTTAGTACATGAATCGAATCAGTTGTTAAGATGCTACCATAACAATAATGTTGCAGACATGCACTTGCATTGAAGTTTTGAATTCGTGTTATTCTAGTTGCCTTTAGAGTGCTCCATCAAACACGTACACCCTACAGAAAAGATTAAAAAGTACTCACTAGATTGTCATCTAACTTATTTAAAGGGTAAGTTCCAGAAATCAGCAGAACTAGCACCCGAATTACATATTTATAATTGTATAGACTGCTATGGTTTGATTGCACCAACTTTCCAGTCTAAAAAGAGTAAGGGTGGAAGTTTTGTGGTTTTACCAGCAAATTTTACATTTCTCTTCTAGACACCAAGAAGAGTTGCACACAGGAATGAAAGTGTATATCTCCATTTTAAAGCGTAAAACAAACTATTTTGAAACACAAATAATTCTAATTAGGCCTTTATTACTCAAATTAACAGGAGGTTGCTTTTATCATGAAGAAGCAACTTACATGCCCATCAAAAGTAAATGAAGATAAACCAAGTAGAAAGAATATCCCAACAATTTTTTTAGTTGTTTAATTTTTTGTGTTTAGTTTTTATAATTTTTTGTCAATTTTTATTTATTTAGATCATTCTAATTCTAAACTAGAAGATTTTAATAAGAAATAAAGAATAAATTTAAAATATATAAAAAAAAAAATTCAAATTCCCTCAAGCAACTTCCTTTATTCTATTCCCATCTATCTAACAAATAAAAACCCACAATAGAGAGAACAATGGGTCATTATAGTCCACTCAGCAAATTTATTTATTTATTTATTTTCAGTCTACACATTTTTTTGCACTTTTTAAGAGAGCATGCAAGAAATAAAAGTCACAGCACAATTCTCATCCTCGCTGACCAAGGCATCTAAGGAGTCTCAGGACCAAATCAAGCTTGTAAAGACAAACTTTGGTTGGTGATACCATTTCTGTCAGCAGTATTGATGAGAGAGCATGCCTGAGCCTCTAGTTTGTTGGGAATGGTCTCAAAGGCAATCAAATCTAGACACGCTTCCACAAGAACTTGCAATTTGCAGCGACGAAAATCCTTCAGCTTATCCAAATCCACATGAGGTCCATAACACCCGCTGCAAAACACACAACCATCTGTTACAACTTAATTGAGTATTCAAAGCAAAACCTTTATAACCAAACTACAAAGCTTATAGATTATTGATGACGTAAGGGAACCCTACATATATTTTGGAGACGCATCAAATTCTAGCGTACACTTGTACTATGAACCATTAGTAAGATAAGCACCGTAGCTTCCAATGGAGGCTGCAACCAAAGCCCCGTTACAGCTATGTTCAGAAATTCTCTTCTTGGCATCCCAGGACTTATCACACACTTCAACAGCCAATTTGATACTCTTTTTCAGTACTGATTCTCCTTCTTCAATGGACAGTTCTTTGGATAGGAATCGTGGAAGAGTGGCCTATAGACACAGAAATAAAAAAATGAGTTCAAATTTAGTAGCAATATCAAAGCTAAAATTATATAGACATGAACAAGAATTCCAAGTAATACAAATAGCAAAAGCATAAGTCAACAAAAGCAAAATAAAAATACTTACATACTCCACAGATTGGATCTGGCTATGGCCTACACCATCTCTCTATCCAAATTATCACTCCTCATTTAATAGTTTCTCAAAATAATTCTTCCATCTTTCCTTAATCTCATCATCCTTCACCAATACCTTAGAATCCTCACTCTTGATGCACTTTACTTGATTAAAATCTCTTGTTTTCTCTCTCGTATCTTAGCAAGTTTGTATACCCTCTTCTCTCCCTTCTTACTATCTAGTCTAGTGTATAGGTCATCATATACTTTTAACTTGGTTTCTCTCACTACTTTCTTGACCTCCTCATTAGCTAATCTATAGCTCTTAAGGTTTTCCTCAGTTCTATCCTTTTGCCACTTTTTAAAGCACTCTTTTTTTTGCCTTAACTACTGCTTGAACCTCTTCCCTCCACCACCAAGTTTCCTTAGAACTGGGTCCCGTTCCTTTCGACTCTCCAAGCACTTCCCTTGAGATTCTCCTCATACAATTGGCCATTGGGTTCCACATAGTGTTAGCATCACCTTCTAAGTCCCAAGTACCTTCCTTATCCATTCGATTCTTAAATATTTCTAGTTTATCCCCTTTTAGGTCCCACCATTTCGTCCTACGATGCCCACCAGCCTTCTTAGCTTGGTATTTCCCTTTAAAACATAAATCTAGTACCAAAATCCTTTGTTGAGAGACCAGACTCTCTTCAGGAATCACCTTACAATTATTGCATTTTAGGCGGTCCACTTTTCTCACTAAGAAGTAATCTATTTGACTCTTAACTAATCCACTCTTAAAGGTTATCAAATACTCCTCCCTCTTCTTATACATAGTATTGGCCACCACCAGGTCAGAAGCCAACGCAAAATCTAAGATACTCTCTCCAGCCTCATTTCTGTCACCAAAACCGTATCCACCATGCACCCTTGCATAACCTAGTTTATCTATGCCCACATGGCCATTAAAATCTCCACCTACAACCAGGTTCTCTCCTACGGGTATCTCCTGTAAGATCTCATCCATTTGCTCCCAAAAATCCCTCTTAGTCTGATCATCTAACCCTATTTGAGGGGCGTATGCGCTAATAATGTTCACTATATTCCCTCCAATAACTAGTTTAACTAGCATAATCCTATCTCCTTTCCTAGTGACCGCCACTACACTTTCCACAAGACCCTTGACAATTATGATTCCTACCCCATTCCTACATCTATCCTTACCACTATAATATAGTTTAAAACCGGTATCCTTAATTTCTCTAGCTTTTTCTCCCGTCTACTTAGTTTCTTGTATGCAAGCTATACTAACTCTCCTCCTAATCATATCATCTACCAATTCCATCGTCTTACCAGTTAAGGTTCCTATGTTCCAAGTGGCTACCCTAAACCTATAGTCTTGGACTAGCTTCCTTACCCGCGCTCGTCCAGAAAAGCGCGGAAATCTTTGCCCATTTTTCACCGCACCCAGGCGTCGATGCGGTGCCCCTTACTCACTTTTCGAAACACCCGGAGGCAGGCGCAACGCGTCACTTGAGGGGAACGACCTAGCATTTAAACGATTCAAAGTAGGATTCATTTTCATAAGGGATCCGAGCGGCTTTTTTACGTGTTGGCTGTCGGCTACCTAACACACAACCCTCCTCCTTAACTCGGGCTTGGGACCGGCGGAGTTGTTAACAACCCCGGCGGAGTTAACTTATTTCAAGCGTAAGTTTCAGAAATTAATGGCAGCAGAACTAGCACCCGAATTACATATTTATAATTGTACAGACTGCTATAGTTTGATTGCACCAACTTTCCAGTCTAAAAAGAGTAAGGCTGGAAGTTTTGTGGTTTTACCAGCAAATTTTACATTTCTCTTCTAGACACCAAGAAGAGTTCCACACAGGAATGAAAGTGTATATCTCCATTTTAAAGCGTAAAACAAACTATTTTGAAACACAAATAATTCTAATTAGGCCTTTATTACTCAAATTAACAGGAGGTTGCTTTTATCATCAAGGAGCAACTTACATGCCCAAAAGTAAATGAAGATAAACCAAGTAGAAAGAATATCCCAACAATTTTTTTAGTTGTTTAATTTTTTGTGTTTAGTTTTTATAATTTTTTGTCAATTTTTATTTATTTAGATCATTCTAATTCT